GATCAAGTTCGATTACAATAATTTTATGGACTTGGATGATGTCACTTACGAAATATTCGAAGTGTAATGGGTAGTTCCTGATATTAAAATACTCAATCCAACCGACCGACACTTAAATCTAAATTTCCATGTTAACTGGAGAATGGGGATGAAGATAGAAAAACATTGTATCTATTTGAACATATTATATCTCCTTTTTCATGTGTTTAGATTTAATTTTGTAATAATAAACTAATGGGGCACAAACAAGGATTAAGTGTACATTTCCCCGTAGCAACTACGGAGCGCCATTTTTATATCTGAATATGTATTCATATCAAGAAAACCAAATTTGCTTCTCAAAATGAATGGAAATTTGTCGACACAAAACGTAATTAATAATTTCAATTAGGATTAATCTATATACACATAGATTAATCCATAGGGGTTTGACATACTACGCCCACGCTCACATTATGTCAATTCCTATGTGTACACATAGCATGACACTTTCAATTATGACCTCCTAGAAAGTGATTCACAATTGATTTGAATCATTTCTTAGACATACGTGTTAACTGAAAAATCAATTGATTTAAAACAAAATACAAGTTAAAAAAATGTGAAGTATTTATCATGTATCCAAAATAAAATGACCAAAAATTAAATTACCAAAAATCCAAATGAATTGGCATCTTCGTTGTATAGAATACACGTAGCACATTAATTCCATGTTTGACAAAAAATTTTTTGGAAAGATTGAGTTTCTAAATAGTTAACTTTTTGAGAATTTGTGATTAAAAAGTAATAAAAAATGTTGGATTTACGTAAAAAAATATTTTGTTGTGAGAATGTATATTTGAAAATGAACCACTGTTTAACAATTATTATTTCAAAACTTTTTAATTTACGTAGTCATTTTCAATCACATATTCATTTAATAAAATATCATGCACGTAAACTCAAAATTTTTCCCACTTTTAATCATACATTCTTCAAAAATTCATTATTTAAAATTTCATTTTTGCCATATAATAACCAAAATAGGAGTTGAGTACGAGAAAAATAAAGAATTTTCATAGATTTGTTGTCAAACATAGGCTAAATAAATGGAGCTCGGGACCATGACGTGTCCAATCATGACAAAAAGGTTAATATAAAGCAAAAAAACCAAAAGTGGGTCCCGACTTGTGAACCCAACGAAATGAAAAGGCTAAAAAAGCCAAAAGTGGGTCCCGACTGTGAACCCATACAAATTTATTTGCCATACCATAGAGCTCCACGTTTCCATATGCAATAAAACTATTTGTTCAAAGTTGAGTTACAAAGTGTGTTAACAAAATTCAGACCGTTGATTTCAAATGATTTAAAAATTTATATTTAAAATGATTGGTATAGACGTTATTTTGTCAACCAATTTTGTAC